ACTGACGCTAGTCACCACCACCGCCCGCGGCTTTGTCTCCAAAGATTCTTCCAAAAACAATGGCCCCAAAATCCAAATTCACCCAAATGTTCGAGAAAAAATTTCATGAATTTCATAAGATTCCATCACAAAATTCTTGAAAAATTAGACAAATCAGATGAGTGAAAATGGCATCCCTTTTCGTTTTTCGTTTTCCGTCCTATAATCCGGTAACTGCCGGATGATTCACAAGAAAGGCGGCAGGAATCACACCTAGCTAACTAGCTTTGAAAGCCATTAAAAGAAATCAAATTCGAGGTAATTATCAGAATTTTGCTAAAAGGGCATAGCTCCAGGAGCAGGCTTTCCACCAGTTGACGCTGTTGAGACCGGAATCTTCTCAAGCTCGAATGGCCTTGGGATCTCTGGAGGGCTTGCACAACAATCAGAGCCCAATTTACACCTTCAAAGAAGGGATGCTGCTTTAATTTCGGTTGCCCCACGTTTGTATGCCAACCTATATTGTGGCTCTTTTACTAGCAACCCTCTTACAAGATCTCTAGCCAAAAAACTGACAACAGGAGGCTCTGAAAATCGAAGGGGCTGCCCGGTAACATTGAATAAGGTCGCTTGATTCCCAGTTCTGGTGGAGGGGATGGTGGTGTGAAGTGGTGGAGGAGGAAGGGGAGCAGGAGAGAGGAGGAAAAAGAAAGAAAAGATGAAAATGAAAAAAAAAATAAAGAATAAAAAAAATGAGCTGATGCCAAGACCCCCTTGCTTCGATATTGTGCGTTGTGGAGAATGTGAAATGGAGGAAGAAGGAGAGGAAGAATAGAAAAGAAAAGGAAAAAAGAGGAACGGAAAGGAAAATAAAATAAAAAAGAAAAAAATTAATAATAGACAGGCTACCAGTTTACAGCAGGTCAAAAAACGTAATTCTATTAGGGTAAAATACAAAAAACCTCCTTGTGGTTTGACTAATTGACACGCTACCTCCTCATTATTTAAAAACACCCACACTACCCCCTCGTGCTTTGGACTAAAGTGAAATTTAACCGGTAACCTGTATATTACCTGCAAGTGATGTATTATTATTTTTTTAATATTTTTTATTTTATTGTCATTTGTTCTTTCAATTTTGGTGCTTTGACTTAACTATCATAGGTATCTTTACAATTTTTATAGGAGAAATCTTGCTCCTTCCTTTTTTTTCCTTCAGTTTTCATTTTTTTCTATTTTGCTTTTCCCTTCCATTTTCCTTTCCCTTTCTTCCTTTACTCGATCCAAAATCTTCATCGCCAGAATCTACCATAGCACCTCACAAAATCTAGGTGGACCTTGCTGCCCAAAGAATCCCAAAAATCTGGGCACTTCCACTGTCAATTCAGTCTGGCTTGAACCGATAAATCAATTCATCTTCATCCAATTTTATCAGGGGTTCGTAAACCTTGATCTCCATCATTCACGCAACTTTCTAGCATTGTTGAATTCAGAATTTCGTTGCAATGGCTAACAAAGTGGCAGCGACAATTTATGTCTCTTGGGTTGTCTATTTATGTCTCTTGGGTTGCTGAAAGTTTTGTGGTAGGTGATGGTGGCAGTAATGGCTAACAAAGTGGCAGCGGCAATGGCAGCAATAGCGGCAAAAGGAAAAAGAAGAAAAGAATTACGCAGCGCGGCAATAGTAGTGCCCCATTACCCGAATTACGCAGATTAAGGTCATAGGACATACTCTCAAAAGTTGGGTCAGACGGGCCAGATTTAACAACTTCAAATTGGAGCATCGGTTGCTCTTGAGCATCAGATTGGAGTGGGAGCTTGAGGTTCTTCATCTTCTTAGTCGGCCTCCATTTGTTGGGTTTAGGAGGAATTACCCGATTATCCCTATTTTTTGCGGTTGGGGCCTTGGAGGAGTCGAATTCGGTAACGAATTCTTTTGACTCTTCGGCGTCGGTGGCGATGGTAGAGGGATTCTCGAGGGTCAAATTTTGGGGCTTTGAGGAGAGGGAGAAAGAGAGCTTCATCTTAGCAAAGAATTGAAAGAAGATTCTAAACTAAAATCTCCGATCCCCCAAAAACCTGCAAATAAAAGCGATTTTGCCTGTAGTTATATAGGGCTACCAAGAACCCAACCCCAAGGCTAGCAAGAAGCCAAAGAAGAGGTCGCTGCCTCCCGGGTGTCACCAAGAACCGTTGTTGGATCGATTGAGAGGAGCCGATCCAATGGCGGCGGACCCCGTTATCGCACTGGTAGGGTGTCTCCGGCGATAGAGCCGCCGTTTCCGAAGGTTTCGGCATGTGGGTTTTGCACTTGCAGTGCTTTTGGGAAACCACCACCTGAAAAGACTCGTCGGAGACCTCCCAAGCATGCTTTGACATTGTGAGTTGTGGAGAATGTGAAATGGAGGAAGATGGAGAGGAAGAATAGAAAAGAAAAGACAAAAAAAAAAAGGAAAGGAAAGGAAAGGAAAATAAAAGAAAAAGAAAAAGATTAGTAATAGACAGACTACCGGTTCACATCAGGTCAAAAAGCGTAATTCCACTCTAGTCCAAAGCACGAGGGAGTAGTGTGAGTGTTTTTAAATAATGAGGAGGTAGCGTGTCAATTAGTCAAACCACAAGGAGGTTTTCTGTATTTTACCCATTCTATTATAATCCAAAGCATGAGCGGTAGTGTGGGTGTTTTTAAATAATGAGGGGGTAGCGTGTCAAATAATCAAATCACAAGGAGATTTTCTGTATTTTACCCTTATAAGGTTGATAATTAGATTTATTGAATATTATAAATAAATATTTAAAATTAATGATAGGTGTAAAGGATAATATAAATTGATAACTTAGTTTATAAAAAATTAAAATAAATGAGATATAAATGAATAATTGAATTGTTCAATTTATATTTTAACTTATTAAATAAATATAATTGAGTTGATTCATTTATACTCATTACTCATTTTAATCAATCTAAACCCGCACAAAACACTCATTTCGACGCCTCTGCTTGTGAGATAACTGACAGAAACTTTTACTAATAATTGGACTGCAACGCAAGGGGACATTGAGTGGGTCAGCAGGGCATCTCATTTTGCAATCTTCTCAGCATTGAAAATCACAGTGGTAAGTACTCCACCGCCTATCAGCGAGGTGGATTTCTTCTCATGTCATTCTTGCATTTTATTGATTTAGCAAATTAGTAATTATGCTGAATGCTTCACAGTCAAAATTGGTGGGAGCAGCAGCCCAAAGTGGCCAGCGTATTAAGGACCCTACTCTCACTCACTGATAACAACACAAAATTAAACACATCCGGGCGATTGCGAGACAATTCTTATTTTATCTGTGATTTTTAATTAAAGCTAGCTACTCCTAAGAAAACACCACCATAAATAACAGGTACATTTTTTTCCCTGCGTGCAACAAAAATCATAAATCCATCCAAAAGCGCTTGTAGAATTACGATCGCAAGAAACAACCGGAACTGAGTTATGAAACAATTAGTAGTAACTCTTCAGTTAGTTTTGTGGGCGTTGAAGCCTAATGGTGTAAGAATGTATGCACATTATATTTGTGAGAGAGGACGCTTAAAATCTTTATAAACATTGGCAGAACCAGAGTTTGGGGTTTGGGGGACAAGATTTATGAAGATGTATATTTAATACCCATTCTCATATTTTTGTAAAATATATATATATATATATATATATATATATATATATATATATATATGTTGGGGGATGAAGCACAACACTCATAATGATATAAATGAAAAATTCTCTAGAGTTTTGAAGGGATATAAAAAGATATTTAAAAAATCTTTAGTGGGGACAAACTCAATTTCTACCAAAAAAAAAAAAAAGGGTGAAACATTTACAATTACTTAGGAGACACAGTAAAAGAATTTCTAAGATCTTAAAGAGGGGCTAGCGCCGGTGTTCACAAACATCGCGAGACACCGACGCTGCTGTTTCAGCAAAGAAAATAAGAACGGGCCTTGGGATGGTTGCAAGGACCTCGAAAGGGGAACTAGTGGAGGTCTGGGCACTGCAGGAGATAAAGAAAGGCAAGGCCATAACCATGGCAATCGAACAGGCTTTGTTAATGGCCGAGGAAGCTGGATGGATGAAAGACAATTGAGGTGGTTGACATGCTCAAGAAAATGGAGGACTGAGGACCGCACAATTGACACCATACGGGAAGATATCCTACAGCGGGCTGAATGGTTCTCGCTCTCGCTCTGCTCGTTTACTTTCATCAGTAGGCTATAAGAATGGAATTAGTCATTATGTAGCAAAATTTGCTTCTGACCTCTAGCCTGGTAAAGAATGAAAGCTCAAACAGACGGCACAGGATGATTTAGAGGGGCAGTCGCCCTGGTTCTCGATACTAATATGTTGTTACGCACACGAGTTTGTCCACTATTTTTATGATTATGCAAACGAACCACTTGCACACAAATTTGACTCCTTATTTAAGTAGGTGCATAAAACTTTTTAAGGATAATCAATATGAACTTCTAACAACGTCGCCTTTAATTGCAACGCACAGTACAGATGCACGACTCTTTTCAAGCCCAAAATCTAGGGTGCAAACAAGTCGAGTTTAATCGAATAGTTTGCAAGTTTATTCGATCAAAATTTGAAGTCAAATTCGTATTAATCGAGTTCGAACTATTTGATGTGTCGAACTCAAGTTTAATATGCGAAATTCGAAAGTTCGCCGAGTATTTGATAAGTTGAACTCAAGCTTAATATGTGAAGTTTGCAAGCTCGTTGAGTTTAATTAGATCAATCAAACTTTACATATATATATATATATATATGAATATATATAATTTTTAAATTTATTAATATGATATGTATATTTTATCTTTTGTTTAAAATTATATAACATATAAATTTATATTTATTAAATTTAATTAAACTTGATTGAATTCGAAATAAGTTTAAGTGGATTCAATGAGTACGAGTTCGAGTAATACAAAATAAAATTGAGCTTAAATTCGAATTCAACTTTCCACAGGTGAGCCCCTACCCAAATCCCAACTGAATCAGTGTAGAAAAAAAAAAAGACTGAACACTTCACCTTTCCAGTCGAGATTCCCAGCTGTAGCCTCCCAAGCGAATGATATTGATACCGACTGCTGAGCTCGCTCGAAACTCACCCAATCGCCATGAAACTCATCCCACGCAATTCACTTATTTCGATTCTGAGAACATCTCTTTCCTCCTTGTCTCTCCGCCCCATCTCCAACACCGCCTCAGATTACCCCTCCGAAACCCTAACCCCATCGCCACCAATTTCCCAAAACCCATATGCAAAACCCAACCCCCACCCCAGGACCCGGACCCCATCCGAGAAACAATTCGAGAAATGGATCCAAAATCTCAAACCCGGGTTTACTCCCTCTGACGTGGACGAAGCCCTCAATGCCCAAACCGACCCTGACCTCGCCCTCGACATTTTCCGATGGACCGCCCAACAGCGAGGCTATAAGCACGACCAGGTCACCTATCTCACCATGATTGAAATCGCCGCCACCGGAAAACGGTACCGCGTTGCCGAGACCCTCATCGAGGAAGTCGTTGCCGGAGCCTGCCCGCCAAGCCTCCCTCTTTACAACTCCATGATCAAATTCTGCTGTGGCCGTAAGTTTTTATTCAACCGAGCGTTTGATATTTATAAGAAAATGCTGAAGTGCGATGGTCCGACGGTCAAACCCTCTTTGGAAACTTATAAATTGTTATTGAATTCGCTGCTTCGGAAGTTTAATAGGTTGAATGTGTGTTATGTTTATCTACACGCTGTTAGATCGTTGACGAAGCAAATGAAGGCATCTGGGGTGATACCGGATACTTTTGCGTTGAATATGATTATAAAAGCTTATTCCAAGTGTCTTGAAGTGGATGAGGCCATTCGGATTTTTCGGGAGATGGGGTTGTATGGTTGCGAGCCGAATGCTTATACTTACAGTTATATCGCAAAGGGGTTGTGTGAGAAGGGGAGGGTAGCTCAGGGGTTGAACTTCTTTAAGGAGATGAGGGAAAAAGGTTTTGTACCAAAAGGGAGTACATATGTGATATTGATTTGCAGTCTTGCTTTGGAACGGAGGTTTGAGGATGCCATTGAGATTGTGTTTGATATGTTGGATAATTCTATGTCACCTGATTTTCTTACTTACAAGACTCTTCTGGAGGAGTTGTGCAGGGACGGAAGGGGAAACGATGCTTTTGAGCTTCTCCAAGAGATGAGGAAGAAGGATACTTCTATGAACGAGAAAACTTACAGTGCTCTGACGAATGTATTGCATTTTCTGAACCGGGAGTAGGCCATTGTTTCCCTTTTTGGTGCATTGGAGGGCTCAAAGCCCATTAGATATGTAAAGAGCCTTGGGGTTGCGACCCCAGTTACATCTGCATATAACCATTCTCTAATCTGCACTGGGGGCTGTTATTGCACTGATCTTCAATCATGATATACTTGTTAGTGAATCCGTCTCCAGTACCACTTTCCTGTGGCCTTTCTTCCATGCTAGCTTCAGGCCATGAATTATACCCCACAATTCCGCCACAATGTTACTAGATCATTGTTTTCCATGAGAAAAATTAGAGAACCAAGTTCGTTCTTTGGCTCTGTTGAGTCTGAGAGGTTGTTTTGTTTGCTTAGGCCCCCATTTCTAATTACCGGAAATCATCCAATGGAAGTTAAAATGAATTGATATGCATGTGCATGCGGGATCATAATATCACTATATCAGACTAGTTCTTCGTTCAAGTCAGCAATTGTTGCGAGGAGAGTGGGAAATGATGGCCCTGTTCCCAAATGAGGTTAGGGGTGCTATCTTTCTTGATTAGTTGGGTAATGCAATTTATTGAAACGCTATGCTTTAGGCAAATTGGTGGGTTTCTGTCATTTGAGTTCGTTCTTCTATCTTTTGAAGGAACAGGGGTGGGAAGACATTTGTTATCAATGTAGCCAGAGAGAGATAGATATGATTTTGCTGCTTCTCTGAAACTGCTTAGTCCAATTGTGATTGCTCGAATAAAGAAGCTAGTAAATTCATCAAAGAGTTGAGCACTTTCTAGAATTACTCCGCAAATAATATTGGTAAAATTGACTGCCATTGTGCATAAGCAGTAAAAAATTGGCAATCCCACGACTCTACCACTTGGAGCAGTGCCCGGGCACGACAGAATAATCAAAATGTTGCTGCTGTATTAACATCTAAGGATCGAAGTTAGCAAATAAATAATTTACCTCATCTAAAATTTTTAAGAACAAATTCTCAGGGTAATTAAAAAGGACTGCTTTAGAAAAAAAAAAAAGAAAAAGAAAAAGAGTAAAGGTAATCTATACTAGGTTAAATCAATGATAAATACGAGGATGAGTTGCTGACAAGAGGTCTGCACGGGTGGGTTAAACAAAACAAAATGATATGATGATTTGCTGGTTTCACGTCTTCGCAGGATGATGAGCCGGAGATTGAACTGCAGCTGCATGTACGTATCTATCTTATCATTGGTACGTATCTCCGGCCATCATTTAGCTAAACGAGCTTGTGTATCGTGAAGGCAGCTGAGGCGTGCTAGTAAACTCCGGGCTGGTATCTGTAAATAAGTCGCTGTTTGTGGACGTCTCTTCGTTAGCTTTCCACCTCTGCAAGGCTTGCGGCAGGCTCATATTGAGATCAATGCCAAAACTATCTTCTTCTTCATCATCGGAACCAGGCATCCACTGCTCTACAAGGGGAGACAAGACATTAACTGCATGCCCCATGATAGGTCTCTGATATGGGTCGCGAGCTGTGCAGTGGGCTGCTAATTCTGCCACTTTCCAAATGCTTTTGAAGGTTTCTTCATCTGGTCTTAAGGAAGGATCTAACGAGCTTCTGATCTCGTCCTTGTTAAAAGTCACCCTTCGGAACCAAGTGACCAAGTGAGCTTTCTCTTCTGGTTGTGCATCATCCAAGGCCTTCTGTCCGGTGATTAACTCCATCAAGATTACTCCAAATGCATAGACATCAACTTTCGTGGTCACTCTGCCAGTGGCTGTTAAAGAACAGAAAGTGCTCTTTTAGTAGCCGTAAGAAAGGGAGGAGACAGTATTTTAGTGCCTAACTCTCCATTGAAGCATTATACATCCTTATGAAAATGGCTTTACCTAAGAAAATAACCGAAATATTTTGCTTCCACTATAATACGAAACAGCCAAATCATGGTTGTGAACTATTAATCTAATGAAAAACTCGGTAATTAAGCCTACATGCGCCAATTAACTTGTTAAACCTGTAAAATGCATTTATACAAACAATTGAGTTGACATAACTCATCTTTGGGGCCTCAACGTCTAATGTATGTTTGACTTGGTAATAAGACAGTAAGATCAAAGATGTTGTGTGATATGGGAGTTGACAAGATCAGGTACAAGACCCACAATTAGTCAATTAGTAGGACAAATAACTGACGCATCCAGAGAGGGATAATATGAATGCTGTGAACGAGATAAACTGAGATGACCTAACTTGTATATGAGCATGAATCCACTTACCAGCATATTCTGGTGCCAAATACCCAAAAGTTCCAGCTAGTCGCGTCTCAACTGAGTGCTTCCCATCAGGGGCAATCTTAACCAAACCAAAATCTGAAACCTTAGCCCTCATATCATCTCCGAGAAGGATGTTAGAGGGTTTGAGATCCCTGTGGATGAAACTCTGGTTTGCCAATCCATGCAGATATTCAACGCCTCTGGCAACGTCTAATGCTATGGAGAGTCTTTGTTTCCAAGTGAGTGGAAGGGTGCCCCTTTCTTGCCAACTAATTAAATGCTGCCCCAGTGTCCCTTGAGGCATATACTCGTAAACCAGAAGTCTCTCATTTCCGTTGACACAAAAACCATGAAGAGCAACCAAGTTCTTATGCCTAACCTTTGACAGGACCTCAATTTCAGCTCTAAACTCACCTAGACCCTTCTTGTTCATAAAAGAAGATTCCATCCTCTTCACGGCTATCTGTGTCCCATCATGAAGTTGTCCTTTATAAACAATGCCAAATCCACCTTCACCCAATATGTTTTCTTCACTGAAATGGTTTGTTGCTTCTTGGAGTACTTCTATTGGTATGGCGACACTGATACCATCACTAAAATGGAAATCATAGTTTTCAGTACCCATTTGGCTGGGTAAATCGCTTGATATTGCATCAGAATCACCCTCAAGCGAGGTTTTCCCATTTTTACTGCCCTTAGCTGACTTGTATTCACGACTTTGCTTCTTTACATAATAACGTCTATAAACTATGAAACCCAAAACAACAACCATGACAACAGCAACAACAATAATAACAACAATAATCCACGGTGAGACAGAAGCCTTCGCTTTGTCAATTGGACCAGATGATGCATTTCCTGGAGGGAAGCTAGGGGGCAACTCTATTCCAATAAAGGGATTACCAGAAGTTTTCACCGACACACCTGGGGCAAATTCTGGTATTTTTCCAGAGAGATTATTGTTGGAAACATCAAGAACCTTCAACTTTGTCAAACTGGTCAGGGTAGCTGGTATAGAACCAGTAAGTTTATTGGCATGCATGTCCAGGGTCCTTAATGAGGTAAGGTTTGCAATTGCAGGTGATATGAGGCCAGGAAAATTCTGGTTTCCAAAATTAATCACACTTACACTTCCTGAATCACAGACAATAAAGCGCCAATTCTGACAAGGATTATTCCCTTTCCAAGACTCGGCTAATGCTGATGGATAATTCAAGGCACCAGCAACCTGAAGCAATATTGTCACCTGCAGAGCACAAGGGCCTGGACTGGTATTGCAGAAACTATTTTTACCGTCACTAGATCCATCGGTGACCTGAACACCTGCAGGAAACTTGGGTACTGGACCCTGGAATAAATTATTCTCCAAAGTTACATTTTGCAGCTCAGGAAGCGATGACAGAGAAGGAGGAATCACACCGGTTAGCTGATTATCACGAAGCTGAAGGTCAAAAAGGGATTTGCATCCAGAAAGATCGGGAATTGGCCCTGAAAATTTATTAACATGTAGCCAAACCTGAGTTACTTGCGACATTGCTCCGAGAACGTCAATTCCGCCCGACAAACCGGCAATCTGATTGTTCAGCCACAAGTTCTGAATCCCTGACTCAGCAAAAGAAGGTGGCAGACCCCCTGTGATGTTGTTGTAAGAAAGCCGAAGACTTTGTAAACTTGGGAACGACCCAAAAATGTCTGGGATTTCCCCAGCGATGTTAGCCTTGTTAGCAATGAAGCTTACGAGGGCGGTCGAATCGGCCAGGGTATTCGGGATTGTCCAGGGAGGGAGATTCAGGTTCTCGCCAATGCTGAATGTCTGCAAACTTGTCAGGCCCATGAGGAAATCAGGAGGAACAGAAGTAAAATTATTGCCGTCAAGGTAGACTTCTCTGAGGGACGTGAGGTTTGACAAGGAAGGTAGCGGCCCCCAAAGCTGGTTCCTTTGAAAATTGAGGGATTGTAGGCTGGAGAGTTTATTCAAACCTGATGGTAATTTGCCTGAGAGAGATTTGGAGATGAGAATAATGGAGATGACTCTGCCTGATGAGTCACACTGGACGCCTGTCCATTTACATGGGGTGTTGCCACTCCACCCCGGCGGGGCATTGGAGAAACCTTTGGCCAGTTCTGCCATGATGGCAGCATCATCAGCAAAAACATGGTAGATGAAGAGGGTGGTGATTAATTGTAAGCACCGGACCGTTTTAAGAAACTTTTGTTTCCCTTTTCGCATTCTGGTGGTTTTTGCTGTTTTTTATGATATTAGGGTGGAGGAAGGTGGATGAGGTGGTGGTTCTCATTCTCCGTTCTCTCTCATCGTGCATGAGAGAGATAGAGACTGGGGAAGCTGAGGGGCTACGGCGGTTGTTTGGGCCCGGGGGGGAGGGGGGAGGAGATAGGGTGAGGGCTGTATCCTATTCCTACCCCATTTAGTTGCTTGGTTTGAGGGTGCGACAGAGCGGAAGAGGAGATACAATTGTTTAGGCCTTAGGGAAAGTTTATAACTGCCATTGCCAATTAAGAAAAAAAAGGGTAGATTGGTGCTGGTCTAATTTAAGTTACCATAATTGTCGAATCTTTTTTTTTTTTAAACAAAATTAGACGAAAAGGTTCAGTTCCTCGATTTTTTAAAAAGTTCCATTTAGTCTGCGAACGTTTAGACTTGTTGATATGGTTTCAGGAGATTTTCATGTGTTAAATTTTTTAAAAAAAAACTCATGATTTAATCAGAAAATTATGCAGAGGGACATTAGATAAATAAATATCATTGTAAACAATAAATTAGGTAACTAACTTAATTTAAGAATCTTAAGATTTAATGGCGACTTCTTGTAATGTATCGCCCACGAGATTTCTTTCCCAAATTGAACAATCCTTCCACCACGGGCATAGGTTAATTAAAGTTTGCCTCCTGAACTTTTGAAGCAATCACACTTCACCCCTTGAATGGTAGAGATATAAATTTTACCCCTAACGAAAAGATGCAAATATTATATCTCGTTTGCCACCAAATTACCCTAGGAAGAGTGTATATTCTCCATTTTTAGGGTGTTTAAAACGTTATTACTATCCAGAAGAAAAAAAGGCATTATGTAACTAACTACATAAACCCGTTATAAAGTTAGAACATAATTTTCATAATATTCTAAAAGAAAAAATAATTTATTCTGAAACATTATTGACAAAAAATCTTATATGTTTATTTAAAAAAAGATTTTTTATTAAGATTTTTCTATCGTTGAGGCTAAGAGTTTAATCAAAAAATTCCTCAGAAATATGTAGGTTTTTGATGTATGATTTTGTATATATATATATATATATATATATATATATATATATATATATATATATATATATATATATATATATATATATGCGCTAGAAGTGGCAAAATGGGTGATTTAGGCGGGTTTTGATTGGGTAAAATGGGTAATGGGTATAAGTGAGTCAACCCATTTATATCAATTTAATTAGATGAGTATAAATGGGTAAGTCAAAAAATGAGTTGGGTAATTCAATTATCCATTTATAACCCATTTATTCTAATTTTTTACAAACTCATATAAATTCATTTTGTAAACTAAATTATCAATTTATACCATTTTACACCCATCATTAATTTTAAATATTTACTTATTATGCCAAATAAGTCTAATTATCAATTTTTTTCCATCCGCATGCTATGTCGCAAAATTACATATTATTTAATAATTGAACAATGAGAATCTAAATATTTGGACTAAATAATATGAAAGTTAACATAAAAATTTAATTCAAAACTTTGAACCCCTAGTATTTTTTCGTGTATAAATTTAAAATTTCATGTTGAAAATGTAAGAAATGAGGCTAAAATTTGTCATAAATTAGTGATGCTAAAAAATGATCAAATTAATAAATTACGAGGAAATAAAGCGATAAGACAAAACCAACAAATAAATATAATAAATAAAACAAAAATAGTTAAAAATCCTGATGAGGATTAGCAATCACTTCATTTAGCATACAAACAAAGATAAATATTCAACAAATAGGAATAACTGATAAAACAGTGAAAGGTTACATGGCCAAAACTTGCCAACCTTCAGTACCAGAATAAATAGCTACTTGAATTCCCACAAATTGGTAGACGAAATAAATACACTTACAATCCATGAAACTTTTACAAATTAATACTCCTACCAAGGATTGTAACAAAAAGACTGGCAGCAGAAGCAGAATAAGTAAATGGAAATGATAGTACTTCAAATTTGCAACAAAAAATCCTCTTCTCAGTTTTCAAAATCCAGGTGGAGCCAACTTTATCAAAATACTTAACAAGCACTCAGCTTCTCAAGCTTCGTACAACTGCATAGCATAAAACTCCTCTAGCTCACCGTTGGAATCCGCCAACAAGTTTGCTGATGGCTCAACACAAAACAGAGAAGATTCCTGGCAATCAAAACCAAATTCAAAGTTCTGTTTTTTGCTACTTAAATTTCATCTAGACAGAAAGATAAAATTCTTTTCACCACATTTCTAACAATCTCCATATATCAAGACAATCAACAAAACAAAAATTTGCAGTCAAGCTCAGAATTGTGAAGTGTGAACGGACAGGGAAGGGTTGATACTGCAAAAGTCAACTCTAATCTACTAGTATATTTCCTTGTGAAGCTAAACAGAACTTACAAACAAACATCAGAAAATCATTTTCATTCTAAATCATCAATTTCAACGCAATAATTAAAAGCTTAAACAAAAGATAAATGCTCCTAGCCTTCCTGCCTAACTTACTACCAGATGATACAATACAAGCACGAAATGATACCCTAAGCTCACACAGATTGTTCTTTCACTCACATCCCGCCCAAAAAAAAAAACTACCTGCAAATCTACAAATTAAATGAAGAGCCGCCCCCCTATGCGGTACAAAATATTCAAGACTCTTTCCTAGCTTTTTGACTCTTTCTAATGGGAGGACCTTACAACAGTGATGCTGCTGCATTCAGTGCATCAGTATCAGCATCCTGCCAAGGTTGCTAGAACCAATTTAAGCCTGATCATGCAAACAATTTGATGGAACCAAGACATGGAAAAAAGGATGAGGTTAGCTCTGAAAAAGTTATAAAAGTTAAGGCCACAGAACTGGTGATGACTGATAAATTATGTATTCTTAGATATCAAGGTTAACGCAGTGTATATTTATAACCTCGATTGAATGCAAAAGTATTCAAGTTAAATAAACAATTGCTTGCCTCTTAATAAGCTAACTGACGACAGAATCTCAAGTTTTAGAGTCAAGTAGGTGAGCTGAAGAGGATACGACTAGTAATTAAATCAATCGACTCCAACTTCATCTAGCAAATAAGAAACTAACCTTGACTAAGTTTTTACAGGTTTTGGCAGTCTTGAAGTTCAATACATAGAAATAAATCAGTTAACCTTGGCTAACTTTTGATTTCCTTATATCAAGAGCAAAAACTTCAAGAATGCTTCATTACGAAGGCGCAGGAAAATTTTAAAGGAGTGGAGAAATTGAAGAATAATCTCACCTCGAATGCCAACATCATCTGGAGCAAGAGTTCTATTTTTGGGCCTAAATTCGTAGCCACCTTCAAGAACCGTCACATCCAACGCCTGAAATCGAATCATGAAGCATCATGAACTTGAAACATAGATGGTTAGTTTGGCAGTAGTCGTGGTTGTGCTGTGGGTACCTGTTTGCAGAGGTGGTGAGCAGCGGCCAGACTCTTAACATTCTTCGGGAAAATCTTCAAGACACCGCCGGTTTATTCATAGATTAGCTCAGGAATCGGACATGGAAGGGGCAAAAACCTTCTATTATGCAGAGACGGGGAGAAGGGAGAGGGGAATCAAACACTGGAGGAAGAAGGGGGGAGCAGTGGGCTTGGTGGTGGGGAGGAGAAGAAGATTGACGGTGAAAACTGAAAATACAAAGAAATTTGGGAATGTAAGTTAAATGGGTTAATTGGGTTTGATGAGTTACCCAATTATATCCAATAAATGGGTATAATTGGGTAATCCATTTATACTCATATATAAAAATTTAATATATCCATATACAATTATTAATGGACGGGTATGGGTAAAATTAATTAAATGGATTTATTTGACACCTCTAATATGCGCCAAAGAATTATATGTTCCTTTTCTTGTAGTGATTTATTTCTAGTTATTAGTTGCAAAAAATATGATTTGTAAAAATTCCAATTCCTGTATCTATGTTACATTGTCACTTTTTTTTTGACAAATTAGTGACAAAATAAGTAACAATAAAAAAGCAAGACAAATCAGTGGCTTCTAATCTCTTTTAACCCCAAGATTTTTTTTGTAAATAAATTAATTATTTTGTACAAAAAATTTCAATAAGTACCACTAAAAAAATGTACCAAAATTTGGAATATTTTTTGCTAGTATTTAGCCGCTGATTTGTCAACGAAAAGGAAGAAAAATGACACCGCAACCCACATATGGGAGTTGGGTATTTTCTTTGAAGAAGACAAAATGGGGTGTGTATTTATAAGAAGAAAGGAGTTTGTCAGGATAAGGATAATCTTGTCTAAAAGTTCCCATGGGTAAAAACAGACATGTTCAGAAGTTTAGTAATTTGTAATGGTTAAACAATTATTTTTACTGATAGAAACAGGCAAAGTGCTCAAAAAATAAACTTCAGGAGGCAAAGTGATTTTAGGACCAAACATTAAGGGATCACTGCTATTTACCCTTAAATTTTTTTAATATGTATTTGTCCCCTAAAAGTTTTTGAAATTTATACGTTGACTTTAAAGCTTATACGTTTGTGCATTTTACCTAGGGGTGTGAATCGGAATCAAAATTGATATTTAGAACTTTGAAATTTGAATTTTTCTAAATTTTTGTATCAGAATTTTCGATCGAATTTGATTTCAAATTCACCAACTCCAAATTCGAATTCATTCCGAATTCAATTTAGAATTCGGTAAATTCCGATTTCACCAAATTCAAGAAAATAATAATAATAATTATTATTATTATATAAATGTTATATTACATATATATAAATAATATATATACATATGAAAAATGAATTGAAATCGAAATAGGAATTCTGAATCACCAAATTCAGGAATATAAAAATTATTATTATAATATAAATGTTATATTACATATATATATATATATATATATATATGAAAAACAAATTTGAAATCAAAATCGAAATTCCGAGTTCAGATTGAATTCGAAATTGAAAATTTCAATTTGAAAAATTCCATTACTGAATTCAAACTAAATTTGCATAATTCAAAATCGAAAAACTCAATTTCAATTTCAAATTTTGAATGACCAATTTTGAAAATTTCAAATTTAATTCGAATTCAGCAAGTG